GATAGTTTTAAAAGATCATTTTTATTATGGGATTTTCAAATACACACAAAACTACAGACACTAATATAATGAATCCCCACTTATTACCCAGATTCAATAATTATCCTTAATGCATGGCCAATTATGTTTCATCTGAACTCTACCCACTATTCTCTCAAATAATTTTGCAGCAAATCCTAGTTATCATATCATTTCACCTGTAAGTATTTTAGTATGCTTCTCTAAGCAATAGGAGTCTCTCTTTTTTTTTTTAGGAAATATAACCATTATATCATTATCATACACTAAAGACAATTAGTCCCATCACCTCATGGGAAATAGATGGGGAGACAGTGGAAACAGTGTCAGACTTTATTTTTTTGGGCTCCAAAATCACTGCAGATGGTGACTGCAGCCATGAAATTAAAAGATGCTTACTCCTTGGAAGGAAAGTTATGACCAACCTAGATAGCATATTAAAAAGCAGAGACATGACTTTGCCAACAAAGGTCTGTCTAGTCAAGGCTATGGTTTTTCCAGTGGTCATATATGGATGTGAGAGTTGGACTGAAGAAAGCTGAGCGCTGAAAAATTGATGCTTTTGAACTGTGGTGTTGGAGAAGACTCTTGAGAGTCCCTTGAACTGCAAGGAGATCCAACCAGTCCATCCTGAAGGAGATCAGTCCTGGGTATTCATTGGAAGGACTGATGCTGAAGCTGAAACTCCAATACTTTGGCCACCTCATGTGAAGAGTTGACTCACTGGAAAAGACCCTGATGCTTTGGGTCTTTTGGGACCCAAAGTCTTTGGGAGGGATTGAGGGTAGGAGGGGAAGGGGACGACAGAGGATGAGATGGCTGGATGGCATCACCGACTCGATGGGCATGAGGTTGAGTAAACTTCAGGAGTTGGTGATGGACAGGGAGGCCTGGCATGCTGCAATTCATGGGGTTGCAAAGAGTCAGACACGACTGAGCAACTGAACTGAACTGAAAGACAATTAACAATAATCCCTTAATAGCAAATATACAGGAGAAACTTCAAATTTATACAATCATTATATGTTTTTCTCCTAATACACTTTTAAAAATATGTAACAAAATATGTAACAAAATATGTAATAAAATATGTAATTTTTGTAAATCAGATCCTACTTTTCCTTTAAACTATAAAGTACTTATTATGCACATGAGTAGGCTAATGAAGAGTTAACAACTTTTTTTTTTAGCCTTGGTGCAAGAACACCTAAGTAGGAACATTAAACACAACTTTTACAACTATTATTTGTTTTTTGTCTATACTATCAAAGGACACATGATGGATACAGTGAATTTCGAAAAAAACTGTCAAAATTCTAGAATTTATTTTAAATATGTCATTTTTGAAATCTTTAGAAGAATGATTCCTAGAATGTAGCATTACTAAGAATTAGTCATCTCAAGCTAAACTTATTATCTTGTTCTTTTAACTTTCAATTTTGAAATAAGTTTAGACACACACAAAAAAGAGAGTTCCTACATATATGGCGTTACCCAACTTCCCCAAATATTACTGGGATGCCATAGTTGAAATAAGTGAGTTTCAAGAAGGCAATTGATAATATTTCCTCCAAAATTTTGAATATATGTTCATTGTATATTACAAGACTCAATTTTGATTTTCATTTTCTTAGCATTGTGATTTTTTATTTTATTTTATTTATTTTTTAGCATTGTGACTTTTTAAACAAAAGTACATTAAAATTTCTATCATCAAGGAGGAGGTAAGTGGGTCAGGTTATAAATCAGTTCAGTTGCTCGGTCGTGTCCAACTCTTTGCGACCCCATGGAATCGCAGCACGCCAGGCCTCCCTGTCCATTACCAAATCCCGGAGATGACTCAAACCCATGCCCATCGAGTCAGTGATGCCATCCAGCCATCTCATCGTCTGTCGTCCCCTTCTCCTCCTGCCTTCAGTCTTTCCCAGCATCAGGATCTTTTCAAATGAGTCAGCTCTTTGCATCAGGTGGCCAAAGTATTGGAGTTTCAGCTTCAGCATCAGTCCTTCCAATGAACACCCAGACTGATCTTCTTTAGGGTGGACTGGTTGGATCTCCTTGCAGTCCAAGGGACTCTCAAGAGTCTTCTCCAACACAATAGTTCAAAAGCTTCAATTCTCCTGTGCTCAGCTTTCTTTATAGTCCAACTCTCACATCCATACATCACTACTGGAAAAACCATAGCCTTGATTAGACAGACCTTTGTTGACAAAGTAATGTCTCTACTTTTTAATATGCTGTCTAGGTTGGTCATAACTTTCCTTCCAAGGAGTAAGCGTCTTTTAATTTCATGGCTGTAGTCACCATCTGAAGTTATTCTGGAGCCCAAAAAAATAAAGTCAGTCACTGTTTCCACTGCCTCCCCATCTACTTGCCATGAAGTGATGGGACCTGATGCCATGATCTTATTTTTCTGAATGTTGAGCTTTAAGCCAACTTTTTCACTCTCCTCTTTCACTTTCATCAAGAGGCTCTTTAGTTCTTCTTCACTTTGTGCCATAAGGGTGGTGTCATGTGCATATCTGAGGTTATTGATATTTCTCCCAGCAATCCTGATTCCAGCTTGTGCTTCCTCCAGCCCAACGTTTCTCATGATGTATTCTGCATATAAGTTAAATAAGCAGGGTGACAATATACAGCCTTGACGTACTCCTTTTCCTATTTGGAACCAGTCTGTTGTTCCATGTCCAGTTCTAACTGTTGCTTCCTGACATGCATACAGGTTTCTCAAGAGGCAGGTCAGGTGGTCTGGTATTCCCATCTCTTTCAGAATTTTCCACAGTTTATTGTGATCCACACAGTCAATGGTTTTGGCATAGTCAATAACGCAGAAATAGATGTTTTTCTGGAACTCTCTTGGTTTTTCGATGATGCAGCAGATGTTGCCAATGTGATCTCTGGTTCCTCGGCCTTTTCTAAAATCAGCTTGAATATGTAGAAGTTCACAGTTCACGCACTGCTTAAGCAAAGCTGTTACCTGAACAACTACACCACGAGAATGTTATTTAATGGAGAAATAACTGCTTGGTAAAAGGTTTGTCATTCATCAGAGGCTTTGTTTTGGCCATATTCTGTCCAACACCTTTATCTAATTGACTACTAACAAAGAATCTGGGGGGAAGGCTGATACCTTTCAGTTCCAGTCAGGATTCAAAGAGATTGCCATAGGATGCAGCACTGACACAGAAGCAACAAGACGAAATTTAGTAAGTCTAAACATTAAGGACAGAAATATCAACTGCTAAATTAAAAGACTGAAGGAAAGTTGGCTTGGCAGTTCAGGGAGCAAGAAGTAAGGACTTTAGTTGAGCAAACTCTGTATGAGCCAAAAAAGTGATATGACTGTCACTCTCTAAATCCCATGCAATGGAAGATGGCATTCCTCTGTCCAGGTCAGACCACCTTTAAAGCATAGTTTCAGGCTTAGGAGTTCTTAATTAAAGTATGTCAGGAGACATTAGAACATGACCAAGGAGGGTAAAGGCATTGCAGGAACTAGACTTATTTTGCCAGGAGAAGAGAGGATATGGGAATCATGACTGTTGTCTTTGTTTGGTGACCTGTCCTATGGAAGACGGAGCAGACCTAGCATGCCACACCAGAGAGCTGAACTAATAATGTAATATTATTAATAGCAGGCACTTTTGAGTGCTTATTTAATATGTGGTAGGCATTTATATGCATTATCTTGTTCAATATAATCATTCTATGAGGGGTTGGTTTCTATTATCATCTTAATCTAATAGATTAGGAAAACAAAACTCAGAGAAGCCAAGGCAACAGAGACAGCAAGTTAAAGTAGCTGATGCCCATAGTGAATTAATATTTGTAATATATTTAGAAGGGTGTTAGGACATAAGTACCTAATAAAATCTAGTTGCAACAATAATAAATATTATAATAATTATATTCAAATATTATTGTTGTTGTATTGACTTAGGCCAGTGGTTCTCAGCCTTGAGCCTTGGCTATACATTAGAATCACTTCAAAAATTACTGATGTCCAAATTCTATGTTCAGAGACACTGACTGAACTGGCCTGAGATATGGCCTGAGCATCTGCCATTTTAAAAGTTCCCCAGGTAAAGAAAACATTCACAAAGACACATTTGATAAATACTATTATCGAAATACACAAAGAAATCTTAAAATTCAACAATCAGATGAACAATCTGCTTAAAAAAATGGGCAACAGATCCGAACAGACACCTCACTGAAGAAGATATACAAATGGCAAATAAGTATATGAAAAGATTAAAAGAAAAGTATATACTTTCATAAGTATATGAAAAAAAAATGTTCCATATCATGTCAGTAGGGAATTGAAAATTAAAATAATATACCATTATATATCTGTTAGGATGGTGGGCAAAATCCAAAACACTGACAACAACAAATGCTGAAGGGACTGTGGAGCAATAGCAACTTTTACTGCGTTTGGAAATGCACAATGGGGGAAATTCCTTAGAGGTCCGTCCAGTGGTTAGGACTTGGTGCTCTTGATCCTTGGTCAGGGAGCTAAGAGCCCACAAGATGCGTGGCAGTGTCAAAAAAAAAAAAAAAAATGGTACAGCTACTTTGGAAGACAGTTAAGCAGTTTCTTACAAAAGTAAACATATTCTTGTGGGAGGGAGAAAGAATTAGATGAAGGTAGTCAAAGGGTACAAATTTCCAGTTATAAGAAAAATACTAGGAATGTAATTTATAACATAATAGTGATAATTAACAATGCTGAACATTATAAATGAAAGTTGGTAACAGACTAAATCCTAAGAGTTCTTTCTCATTACAAGGAAAAAATATTTTTTAATCTGTAATGTGTTATCTATATGAGATGATGGATAGGTTCACCAAACCTACTGTGGTAATCATTTCATGACATATGTAAGTCAAAAAATTATGTTGTATTCCTTAAGATTACACAGTACAGTATATTAATTATATCTCAATAAAAATGGAAGAAAATAAAAACATATTCTTACCATACAATCCAGAAACTGTGGTCCTTAGTATTTATCCAAATGAGTCGAACACTTATGTCCATGTAAAAACTTGCAGCTGGGTCTTTATAGCAGTACTTTTATTGCCAAAACTTGGAAACATCCAAGATGTTCTTCAGTAGGTGGATGGATAAACTCTGGTACTTCTAGACAACAGAATGTTATTTGGCCCTAAAAACAAGCAAACAAAAAAAATTAGTTATTAAGCCATGAAAAGAATCTTACATGCACATTATTAAATGAAAGAAACCAATATGAAAAGGCTATATATTACATGATTTCAACTATGCAACATTCTGAATAAGGTAAAACAACAGACTCAGTGAAAAGATTAGTGGTTGTCAGGGGCTAGGTGAGAGTGGGATGAATAGGTAGAGCTCAGGTGATTTTTAGGGCAGTGAAAATATGCTGTATGATATTATAATGGCAGATATGTGTCAAGATATGTTTGTCATAAACCATAGAATATACACCACCAAAAGTGAACTCTAATGTAAGCTATGGAATTTGAGTGATAATGGTGTATCAACATACACTCATTGTCACAAATGTACTAGGTGGTGGAGCTTTTGACGGCTGTGCATGTATAGAGGCATTTATAAAACATCTGCATGTATAAAACATTTTAAAGATTTATTTCTTCTCCATCCGAACTGTCTTCTTACTGCCAAAAACTAGGCCCTTTCTCTCTCCACTACTGGAGGAATTTTCCAATCTCCCGGAAGTTAATCTCCTTGTCTGCTGCTGCTGCTAAGTCGCTTCAGTCGTGTCCGACTCTGTGTGACCCCAAAGACGGCAGCCCACCAGGCTCCTCCATCCATGGGATTCTCCAGGCAAGAGTACTGGAGAGGGGTGCCACTGCCTTCTCCAGTCTCCTTGTCCAGGTAGTTCTTATTAGCTATTCTGGACACTCTTGCCCTATACACCTTTGCAAGACTCTTTTAGAACTTTTCCAGTCAATGTTCTAGTCCAGAACTTGCTACTTTACCTCAGCATAAATTCTGTATCCCACACATTTAAGTCCCTGCTGATTTTAGCTCCTATTTTCTCCATCATTGCTTAACGCTGGTTTTTGCTTGAGGCACAGGTCCTCTTTCCTGTGTTTCAGAACTGATCAGGCTTTGCTTTATTCTTTTTCCTCACTTGCAGTGTTCACATTCTACCCATTTCTTCAAGGTCCAAATTAAATGCCACTTTCCTCCTTGAAGATTTTCCTGGCAGCTCCAAGTCACATTCATAGCTCGCAAATAATTATTCTTATGTGCTGTAGTTGGGACAAGATAGTGGAATCCTCAACTCTTATCTCTTAATTTGACCTAGGAGCAGGAGACCTAGGAACCTTACCTGCTACAGTGGGACATGTATCTATAGATATTCGAGGTGCAAATGTGTAATTTACAAAATACTAGTTCTTCAAATTTATGCAGCAGCTCCTCTGCTTAAAGGAACACTCCTCAAATACTATCACGTAACACTCATTTTTGTTTTTTAAATACAGTGGGTGTATGGGGCATGGGTTTACGTATCTCACAAACCAAGGGATTCATTTCTTGATTAAAAGAAAAAGAAAGCTATATTCACATTTCCAACTAATTACATCTTAACTGTCTCCAAGTGCGCCTCATAAGCAGGCATATTTTGTTTTCAACGCGTGTGAAATAAAACGTTCGAAGGGAATAACTACGGACATACTTAAGATCACAACCCACAGGAAAAAGTCGAAATCACACTCGAGGTACTGCTGCTTCCTGGGAACGCCAGCGGGCCTGAATTCAAAGCTTTTGGAACCTCAGCTCTCCCGTCCGTACTATGGAGAGGATACTCGACAATATTTACCTCACAAGACTGTGGTGAAAGGTTTTCTTTCTGAACTGCCGGGCAGTTCGCCTCCCAGGACCTAAGGGTGGCGCTTTTCTTCCCGCGGCGCACTTCCGTGCGCGAGGAGGGGTGACCAGCGAGGAGGAGGAGAAGCTCGCGCCGGAGGCCGGGTCGGCGAGGCGGGAGGCCGGGCCAGGACAGGTTGGGCCGCAGCTTTGACGTGCAGCGTGGGGGCTTTCAGCAGGAGCACGCCAAGTGTGTACACACCGTGCAAAACACGCTGAGCGTGCGTGCACCCGTGTGCGCGCGGTGCTGGGAGCGCGCTTGAATTGCCAACGAAACGTGAAGGCGCAGAGCGTACGATAGGAAAGCGACAGCTGACGCGGCCGAGGGAGCAGGAGGCCCTCGGTAGCGGCGACGAAGCTACCGGTCGCTCGGCGCCCCGGCGTTGCGCGACCCTGCGCCGCGGGCCGACGGGTCCCCGCAGCGCCCCCACGTGGCGGCCGAAGGGGTCGCAGCCAGCGGAGCCCATTTGCTCCGCCTCCGCGGCGCACTGCTGCCCTCCGCAGCTTCCCCGCCCGGCTCTCCCCCGACCCTCCTCCCTTCCCCCTCCCGGATCGCGATGGACGCGGCCTCCCCCCGCCGCCGCCGCCGGCATTACGGCGCGGGCCTCTAAGCTGCAGGGCGTGAGGAGCCGCGTGCCGGGGACGGGACGTGAGCTGGCTGCCGCCGGTCTGGGGAACCTCTGGCTTCCCTGTCACCAGGTCCCCGCGGAGGAAGGGGAGGGACAAGGCGCGGCTTTTCCTGTGCCGCCAGCCCGGCTCGACCTGCGCGGCCTGCGGCTTCCTGGGAACTCGAGGGCCGCGGCCGGGCCTGGCTCAGCCCGCGGCCTGCTTGGAGCTGGACCGGAGCGGTTTGAGACGACAGGCTTGGGTAAGAGCTTGAGGAAAGGGGACGCAGGAGCGCCTTCGGCGGTCGGAAGGGTCAGGCCTGGTGCCGGGATCAGGGATGCCCGGCGGTAGCCTGGGAGCGAGACCCCGGCCCCTGGTGAGGTCGGCAGGCTGCCGCCGACTCACCCGCCTGGCCCCTTTGTTTTCCTCCCCCGACCCTGCCCACGGCGGGCCCCGACTTGTCCAGGCCAGAGCCCATGGTTGCCCGCCCTTGTCCTTGAGAAAGGATCGCCGCCCGACGGGGCCAGGGACGTCCCGCCGGGCCTCAGAGTTCCGGGCGCCGCTCCCGGGAGACCCATCGCCCTGCCTGCTCCGGCCTCCTCCTCTCGGGTAGAGAGGCTCGCAGCTCCACCTCCAAAACTTACCCTCCTCCTCGACACAGGTAGCTAACTTAGCCGGGTTTGGTTCGGGAAAACCGGAGCGCGGTGCCTGCGTCTCCCGGCGCCGGGTCGGCTGGGCCCTGAGTTTTGGGTCAGCCTTGCGGATCGCCGCCGTTGGGCGCCCACCGGAACCTGCGCTGGATTTATGCACCTGCAGCTGGGTTACAGGGGACCCAGCGCTGTCCTCTCGTCAAGAGTGCTTCTGAGTTTTTGTATTGACTTGCCTGTTGGGGCTGCTTCGCTGTTGTTGTTGCTGTTGTTTTTAGCCAACTGCCCCATTCGGTGGGGATGGGGAGAGAGGACCGCAGATTGGCTTGTGTTCTGATCTGTAACGTGTTAGTCCATTGCACTTACTTGTAGCATTTCTTTTCAAACTTTTTTTTTTTTAACTTTTAAGAACAGTTGCTGCTACTGCCGAAATTCCTAATCAAATCTTAGATAGATCTTGTATATCGTTTGTATTTGAACATCTTAAGGATAGCAGTAAATTAAATCAGCAGAATTTAAGAAATTGAAGATAATTTTAAAGTAGAGACTTGATTTGGAGGGGAATTGGATCAAAGTGCTAAGTTTCCTTAAAATACTGAATCTAATCCTTATCAGAAGATCAGCTTTGGGTGAGGGGAGGGGCAAAGAAGTTTTCTGGAAAAAAAAACCCTTAGTAAGGTGTTGTTTGCCTTTTGGCAAACACGTTAGTGATAGCAATAGAGGGATCCGAAGCTTGTTTGACTGTCTTTGACAAAGACGGCTCTGGTTTCCAGTTTAAGCAGCAGCCTAATCAGCTTATACTCTTGTGCAAAACTGGTTTTTATTTAGTACAATGTATGAAGTTAAACCCGAGGAATAAGAAAAGTTGGAAAACTATGGTTAAGTACACTATCCAACATATTTATGAGTCTTTTCTAGTTCCTAGGACACCAAGAAAATCTGGCTCTAGTCAATGTAAAAGAAAAAAAAAATTAAGCTCACGCTGTTCAGTCCTGGACATTTAAAGGACTTTTTGCCTTTACTTTTTAAATTTAAGCAAAGAAGCTTAAAAAACCATGGCAGATGTGGACCCAGATACATTGCTGGAATGGCTGCAGATGGGACAAGGAGATGAAAGGGACATGCAACTAATAGCCCTTGAACAGCTATGCATGCTGCTTTTGATGTCTGACAACGTGGATCGTTGTTTTGAAACGTAAGTATATCCCTTCGTCATCTTCCTTTGGGGGTGCTGTAGTGACATGTACGTAACATGTTCTCAACCATCTGCTGATTTGAGTTTGTATAGAATTTTTCTTCAGTGAGTTTTAAAACCTATCTTTTGAAAAGTTTCTGTAGTTTTGCATTTACAGTCTTCTGAGAAATAAAACTTGGTAGGTAAACTAACTCCAGTAATAATTGTGATGACACAAATAGATGTTTGTTGATTGAATAGGAATTAGTAGAGAATGCTAATTCTACCCCATAATCTGATTGACTCAGTTTCAAAACATGTTATGAACTGAGAAAATGCAAATACTTCTTTATTTCTGTATCAAGAAGTTGACCTGAAATTGATATGAAAATACAGATAACAATGAATACATTTCCAACTGCCCTTTCTTCATTGGTAGCAAGTCTTAGGACACTGTTTTGTTTTGGCGTTGTTGTTTTTGGGTTTTTGTTTGTTTGTTTTTGTTTTTGTTGCTCTGGTGGCACTGTGTGGCTTTTTGGATCTTAGTTCCCCAACAGGGGATTGAACCCAGGCCACTGCAGTGAAAGCAATGAGTCATAACCACTAGATTGTCAGGGAATTTCCTATACTTTTTTTTTTCCCCCTGTACTTTCCTTAAAGCAAATCTTGGCTTTGTAAATTTCAGTTTGGAAAGGGTATAAATTGAATGTTAACCACATGGCATAGTTTTTGGAATAGTAGAAGCAGATTGAGATTTGAGAGTTTAAGTAATTTTATTTAGAGGATTATGTGGAATTTGTGCAAAAATGTAAAGGAATCATTACTAGATTGGACATTAATGCCATGTTTTTCCTCTTATGTTGTACTTGCCCAGTTAGATTAACCATTCTTCTAAATGCTGAACGTGTTTGGTTTTTATTTATCTTATATTTATGATTTTGAATTCTGGTGATAAGTCAATGAAAACTCAGATGCTTCTATATTGGTTTTAATGCCATTTTGAAGTAATTAGTAGAAAATGTTTGAGATGTTGACAAAATTTGGTAAAAATTATCTTAATTTCTTTGAAGTGGCAATAGGCTTTATTACTCACTAAATTGATGTATTTTTGATCATCTTCATTTTTGAATGAATCACTAATGAAGATGAATTAATAAATGAATAGTTAATAATCTTAGTTGTAAGTCCCATTGAGGCGGTACTATTAAGAAAAAAATCCTTATGAACAAAGTTTCCAAATCGCAGTCTGTGACTCATTTATTTCAAGTAGTTATTGTTATTGGCAAACTCTGAGAACATAATAATTTAGCCCCTTTATTAACACTTGTTTTGGTCAGAATCACAGAACAGTGAAATAGATTTTTGAGCATTTGTAGCTTTCATTAGAGGGTTTTCATTAACCTGAGAATTACTTTTGGTATTTTAAAAAGTCGTACATACCAGTCACATCAACTATCATATTCTCCATTAAGTACTGACATGTAGTAGTAGGGGTATTTGTAATGACATTTTTAATAAGTGTCATTATATTAAAACAATTTTAAAGGAAATTGTTAAAATGTCAAACTCATCAATGCAAAATCCTTCTGTCCTAATATAATTGTTATTCTTTTCATTATCCCTTCCAGGCTTCAGTCATATTTGATATAATGTGGATGAAATTAAAATCATATGCAATTTATATTTTTTATTTACTAAGTGAAGATATAAGAAAATTTCATATTGGAATGGTTAGCCCTGTTTTATTTAGCATATCAGTAGTTTGTCTATCAAAAGTAGACATTTGATTAAATTTATGACAGTTGTTTTTTAAACCTTTAGCTTGCTTTCTTCATTCAGTAGCCAGATTTTCTTGTTGTCAGAAGGAAAATTATCTTTAGTTTCTTTAAACCAGAGATGCAGCTTGGTGAGGTGGAAAGAATGGCTGTGTGTCACCAGAGACCTGGGTTCAGATTCTTGGTTTCCTAAATGAAGTTTACCCCTTGAGAGCTTTACTTTCTTCCTCTGTAAAAATGACAGTAATCTCATATCTGGTTTGCTCCTTGTGAGGAGTAAAGGAAAGAATGTATGTGAAAAGTGTTTTGAGTAAAGTGAGCCAATTTAATGTCCTTAAATATCTAATGTTGAATTTTATTTGGAGACTTTATTTCATGAAACTGTGGTGAGTTTTGAAGAACCTTTAAAAATTCTTTGAAACAGTCAACAAATAAGACAGGGCAAAAGCAGGATGATGTGCACATTTTAAATATGGGTGAAAATATCCCTTTTAACTTAATTTCATAAGATAGTAGCAAGTAGTCCTTTTAGTTACGTCAAGTAAAGCAAAAGATGCCTATATGTTCAGATAGGCTTTTGTCTGATTAGCTTTGATTAGTAGTTACATGTTCGTTTAGTCAGGAAAGGCACATGGTGTGGTAAAATTAATGGCCTTTGGAATGAGATAGACACGGGTATAGGTTTTCATGGAGATTAAATGTGATAATACAAGTGAGATGCCTAACATAGTGCTTTTCACATAACAGTTAAGTGTTTTTTTTTCCTTTAACTTAATATTGTACATGGCTGTCCCTTTTTTTGTACCCGTCCTGACTTTGTTTTAATTTCGTTTTTGCTGTGCTGGGTCTTCATTGCTCTGCCGGCGTTTCTCCAGCTGTGGTGAGCAGGGGCTCCTCTTCGTGGTGGTGTGCAAGCTTCTCACTGCCGTGGTTTCTCTTGATACGGAGCGCAGACTCTAGGCACTTGGACCTCAGTGGTTGCAGCCTGTTGCCTCAGGAGCTGCCGCACAGGCTTCAGAGCTCAGCAGTAGTGGCGCGTGGGTTTAGTTGCTCTGAGGCGTTTGGGATCTTTCCTGACCAGGGATTCAACCCGTGTCTCAGGTGGATTCTTTAGACCACTGAGCCACGAGAGAAACTCCCTGGCAGT